ACCATCGTCCCGCTGGTCAAAGGGGTTTTGACGACCACCGTATCTATGCTCGTCTGTCAGTATTCCGCGTTCGGAGAGGTCGTACTCGTAGGCGTGTGTCCCGTCGGCTCCATGGGAGAGAGAAACATACCCGTACTGCGCCATTATGTTAGTTTTCTTCGACGGATATCGGTGGCAGGAAGAACGGTCGGGTCAATTAGGTCAGGGGAGGTAGGATGGATGAAAGGGTAAAAAGAAAGACGTCAATCGTCAACAAGGAAGAGCAGTCGAAATGGGCAAATGCAACGCAACCAGGCTGAAGCAAGTATGATGATGTGCAAAGAAGGTTGGTGATCGCAGGAAGTCAAAGTTTGCGATGTTGCGGCTTTGCGAAGAGTGTGCGGACAAGGCAACGGGAACGGGATCGGGAACGGGTGGACTTTCTCGACTTCGAGAAGGGAAGGGCAACGCAGCAACGTGCGATTGACAAGAGGACGACAGGACGTAATGCAACGTTGGTAGGGCAGGGCAGCGTGCAGAGTGAGGGTTGAACAAGGCGAGGACGGGCGGGCGAAACACCGGAAGTGCGAGGGTTGGGGTGAAACACTGACACTCATGTTGCTTCTGCGAAGCGCGAAGGCTTCTTCCTTGCGCGACGATGATGCGAGTTTGGTAGACGCTCAGGGGCGAATGCAATGTGTTGTAGTATTGCTTTGTTGGATGAACGTCGTCGTGGTCTCGCGCGCGATGGCTTTGGTAGGTAGGAAGATGTGTAAGGCCTTTTGATTTGATGTTTTGTTGATTGTGGCAGAAAAAGAAGCAAGTTGAGTACGGGTAGAAAGGGCGAAGGAGAAGAAGGGGGGGCGGCGGCGGATGAGATGAATTGGCGTTGTGGTTGTAGCGTCGAAAGTGACGGTGTGGTCCAGGTCCAAGTCCAGGTCCAGGTACGACTTTCACACAGAGTCGCTCTCAGGCTTGGACGACAGAAGTCTCAGGCTCGTTTTTTCTGGGTCAATGGTCGTCGACTGGGGGGGCGATGAAGCGAGACGAGGCGAATGGGCCACAATCCACAATTGCACAGGGCCTTGGACGCAGGAACGTGGGCGTTAAGCGTGTGGCTTGAAGCGCTTCTTTGTAGCAGAAATTCGAATTGTCTGTTCGGGACGGGGGCGCGATGCTTGGGGTGCCCCTGGCTCGCGGAGCGATCGCCGTTTAGGTAGCTTTCTGGCTCCAGTAGGAGAGATGATTGGAGGGGCCCCGGCTTATTGGCAACAACCACTCTATGGAGTAGAGAGCTTGTGTGCGTGAGTGTGCTCAGTTGTTTTTTTATTTGAACTAGGTTGACGAAAGGGCCGTTCCTTTTTTTTTTTAGTGTTTTTCTCGCCTGGGGTGAGTGTGTGTCTGTGAGATTATAATTTCGTCGTTCGTCAACGGCGTCGACGACTCAGAGTCGGATGAGTAAGCTACAATACACACTCTTCCGCAAGAATGAGTGAGCGATGAGAGTGAGAGTGAGAATGAGATTTGAGTGTGAGTGTATTCGTGGATGGGCGGGCTTGGCGAGGTACCTGCATGCGACGAAAAAGGTCCCAATCGAGGCAGGGGCCGACGATGCAACGCGAGGGAAAGGGGGGACGTCGTTGTCTGTCACTCTCTCACCCACTGTTGGCTGTGGTGACACTGGTGAGGTGAGAAAACCTGGAAAAAAAAAACGCTGTTTTCAGGGCTGTGTGAGACTACCTCAATGGCGTGTGAGAATGTGAGAACGTGAGTGAGCCTGGGCTGTCTCGACTCAGGCGGGTGCGGTCGGTGGCAGGTGATTGGTCGAGGACTGGACCCTGAAGCTTGGACTTTTGCCTTCTCTTCTTCGGGTGCGCTGTAACTGTAACAAGCGGCGGGCGATGAATGGAGGCGAATAAACTTGAGGCGCTGGCGGGAGATGGTCCAATGCCGGCGTCCTAAAATTACTGCGACTTTCTTCAAGATTGTCTGATGTTGGTGGTATTGGCTCGATGGATGCTTCGATCAAGTGTTCGCTGGCCGGTCGGTGCTGCTGACTGAAGCAATACCTCCTTTTTTTCACCCTTCTTATTCTGGAATTGGCTTCCAACGTGCAACTTGCTCCCTAATGCTTGCAAAGTGTCGCTGACTGTCCGTTCGTGCCACTGTCGGGACTCTTCAAAAAAGGCTAACCTTGGATTTAGTGAAGAGGGCTGCCTCTTCTGATGATGCGGCGGGCCTCGTCCTGGTGGCTTGTGACGACCCGTTCAGAGGCGATTACGATGGAGGTGTCGAAGGCGAAGAGGTCGACAGGGATGTTGACGACGGGAATCGTGAGCCAATCGAAATGGTTCCCTCAAAGTTCAAGAGAGTCCACGCAAATGTGTCTCTTGTCTCCTCTTTCTCTTGGTAGTGGTGGTGGCAGTGGTTTCAACTGCACCCAGCTCGACGGCGTTTCGTTGGCTGGTAAGAATAGAAGCAGCCGAAGCCAGATGGGTAGCGGCAGGCTTAGCTACTGTAGCTAAACCTCACAGTCGCTGCTCTTCGTCGTGGCGTCGTCAGTTGTGAGGTTGCAGCGCAAAGGTTGCGAAATGCCAATCAATCGTTCGACGATCCAGATCTCTCCACTCGTTTGGGAACCGGACACCTCGTGTTTCTTTCGCTGCCGTCTTCCCGTTTCTCGTTTTCCCGCTTTTTCTGTTCTGTCTCCGCGAACACGGGATTTTCTTGTGGGTTGCAGTCGAATGAACCTGCTGGAGCAGCAATGTCGATCAATTCCACAGCAGCCGTTCTGAACCTGTCGCTAGGGTCACAGGCAATTGTGTCTGCGGCTGGTCGAAGCAATGACGCCGATGATCGAGTTTAGTGGTGTTTAGGTACTTTTTTGGTGCGATGACGCCTGTGAGGAGGTCGATGCGCCTTTCGTACGGATGATGAGGTATCAAAAACAAGCAACACCAAGCAACAGAATTGGAGAATTGCGAGGAAAAGTTCACGACCACGACCGCGAACCGGTAAACGGGGACTTCAGCCTCTTAAACAACCAATCCATACAAGCTCCCCAATCATCCCATCGCCCATCGACTCTAGGGAATTATCGATCCTTCCGGCCACTTTCAACACCACCCCGCTCGCTCGCTTCTCAGCTTACGGTCTCGGAAGCGCGAAACTAACACATGCAACTGCAAGCCTCTTTCCCCTCCCTCTCCCCTTCCTGTCTACGGCTGAGCTGTTTAGTCTCGCCTAGCGAGGGAGAAAGGAAAACGGGCTTCGGACTGCCTCGGGCTACCTACTCATTCACCTCATTTTTTGCTTGCGGATCTGCGGCGTGTAATCGTGTCAGGAACACTCACTCAACCCAAAGCTGGCCCATCCCCCCGACAAGGCCTCATCTTCCTTCGCCCCAATTAGACTCGGTTCCATGCAAGCCGTAAGCTCGCCATCAGGCTATCAGCAGGCTGGTTAGTTCAGCTTACAGCCAACCCACTTTCCCCAAAGCCTTCTCATTCCTTCGAGGAATCAAGGAAAACCACTACCGTCGAGCAGTAGGGAAAACATAGCTGCCTAACAGCTTACTATGGAGAATTCCAGCAAGGACAACTTTGGCAAAGTGCCAAGACGCAATCCACCGCTTCAAACAGAGACATGATATCCATGAGTTATAGACACAGAGAAAGAGGGGAATAACAAGCCTCACTCAGCTCGCCAAGGAACCCAGCTGTAGAAAACCCTCCCAAGCAAGCAATCTACCTAGTTTACACTTTTCGGCAAACCCCATCGTGTTGCCATCAACACAGCCTTCTCCTGCGATCCGTAAGCCATCCCGCCGCCGGCTCATTTTCTCTGGACCAATCCGCATTCTACAGCACCTTCAGCCCCAGGATGACCGTACTCCGTCCTCCCTTGGTCCTTTTTCGGTTGATCAACCCCCCCAACTAGAGTCTTGTCGAGATCTGGCTTCCGCAAGAAACTCTCCTCACCGTCATCAACGGGGAATATCCTTCTCACTCCATCACGGGCCGTCCAGACTATCTTAAGGTCAAAAAGCCATTACTTCTTCCAGTCATTTCTTAACTTCACAAGCAAATAACCATATCGCGCGGGGTTCATATCCAAAGACAAACCTGGACATCACTCGGCAACCTTGCCGAACGACAGCTTGGAATAGAAACCCCCTCCTCAAGTTGAACAACAAGCTTTAAGCCCTTCACATTCCTGCAGCAACACCGACCTAGCCTGAAGAGTCGCTGCGCTGGCACTGACGGTAAGTAACACAAGCTGCCACGGCTGCCCAAAAGATCCGCAATGCGTTCCGCTTTGGGCGGAAGCTGACACCGCACACACACACCCACAAATCCACCGCCTCTGCCTCCCTTAGTGCCGCACCGCCAGCCGGTTCCAGGAAGACCGTAGGGCTGTGCTACCGAACGGCCCCAGGATTGACCCTCTTCTCTTTCTCTCCTTGCTAGAATCTCAGTATCCGCATCTACATCATCCCGAAGCGGGCGGGGGGGAGGAAGGTGGAGGTGGAAGGGGAGTGGGAATCGAGACAAACGGCGGCCCTCCCTTCCGCTTCTTCGGTCCGCTTTGGGTTCATGCTTTCGTCCGCAACAGGCCCGTTAGTTCAGTCGTGGCCTGCTCGTCAGCAACATCAGACCTCGAGGATTTATGCATACCTACCTACTGATGTTCACCCCTCCCCAGGCATTACTCATCCAGCATTGAAGCCATCTGGTCACCTGGCTTCTAGGCCCATGTCTTTGACCTCCGGCACTTGAGACGGTGTTGTCAATGATCTCCAATTCTAGAGCTACCAGAAGCTGAAGAAGCTTCTTTGCTTAATATCTCTACCTCTGCTTTGGGAAATGATATGAAACCTGCGTCTAAGCCATCAAAACTCCTCTTGTCACGCCCGAATCTTCCGACCTTTCGTCCAGCTACTACCCATGTAGTCGATACAGAACAGAGCCTTTCCGTCTTCTTCCCTGGTATAAACTCATTGCTAACGCCATTACCCTCCATCATACCACTGCATAGGCCGAAACATAGCTTACGCTACTGTCTCCTGGCCGCTGGATCAATTCGCTACGGTTGTATTGGATGAACGTGAACCGGTGGTCGCCCAATTCCTCAAGTGCCGCCATTGTCACCCCGATCGGGTGCCTTCCGCACACTGTATTCTTGGTCTGCTTGATGCTATCACAGAACTCGCTGTGCTTCCCTGTCTTGATGGCCTCGATCGCCAAGTCATCCACCATCTTGATTGTCTCGTGAATGGGCGGCCCGTCGGGCGTGGGGTCGAATCTGGAGAGCTTCTTCTTGCTGTTGAGTGTCCCGTCCGGGCAGTAGGGCTGATAATCGAAACGCCAGCCCCAGTGACAAAAGTCTGAGCTGACGATGAATGCGTTCTCCGGGTCCTTGACGTACTCGGCAAGCCACTTGCCCACCTCCTTCTCTTCTGCCTTGTTGTTGTCGCCGATCAGTATCGGTACGACGGGCGGAAAGTTCTCGGGCGAGCCAAAGGTTTGTTCCAGCCGGATCCAGAGGTACGGCAGGTGCATCTCCAACGAGTGTTCCGCGTTGTCGTATTTTCTCGGAATCGCAGGGATTTCAAGGTCTTCGAAGAGTTGAGATGTGACCTTCTCGTCCACTTTGAGGCTCCCCCAAGGTGTACCATACTTCTCATACTCGCTGACAGCGCAGCCTACTAAGTAGAAGGTATGAGAGGGCCCGAGAATGAATACGCGTTTCGCTTTGCTGAGGTCGAGGGCCTTGTAGGCCCAGGCTGCCGTGGCACCTGAGTAATCGTACCCGGCGTGGCTATCAAGTAATACTAGTTTAGCAGATATGTACTTGCTTATCGGTCGACATTATAAGAAGAAGACGGTGTAAGCTGAACTCACGGGGCAATGATGACTCGAGCGCCAGGGACCGGTAGTTCGGTTCCGTCGATTTGATCGGGCACATCGGAAAGGAATCCATCGAGATGCTCCCTGAGTTCCTTGGGGTCGCCCAAGTACCAGGAGCCTGCCTTGCCAGGAGGGCGGATGTCTGCTTCTCCCGACTCCATTGCACGATGCGATGTCTGCTGAGAGCTACGAGCGAGCGAATCTTCGTAAAGTGTAAGAACAAGAGATCTTTGGACAAGGCTACTTGTCAGGTTGAGAATGTAAGCATGGAAATAAGAGAGAGTTCAAGAGCTAAGGGTGATAAGGTGACGTGCCTACTGCCCCGCACTCATGGTAGCTCCAGCGAGCTTCGTGCCTACCTACCTCCACGGGCAACGGCAATCAGCTCCTGAGGGACCGGCGAGGGGTAGGTTTCTCCACCCTGGTGCATGATCCGGCCCCATCTCTAGCGTCCGTACGGGTACCCCCGGGTACCCGGGTCAGAATGAGCCGGGTGCAAACAACATGCTTCCTTCCCGTATTTATTTATTTATTCCTTTTAACAGTCGTCTTACATCAACATAAGTTCATCGTGGGGAACTTAATGTTCATGATTCAACCCAGCTGCCTGGCATGACTGGTCTCGGCCGATCAACAAGAGCCCAGAAATCGGCAGCGAATGCCTCGAACTCTGGCGCCCACCAAAGCCTCCAGTCGTCGAGTCGCGACCCATAACTCAAGCCGATAACGCGCACGGGAATCCAGTAAAGATCATTCCCCGAATGCTCTCGGTCTGCCGCTCTCATCCACGACTCTCTCCTCTTGAGTGGGTTGCGCACATGTCTTCGCGAGGCCACAATGGCTTCGGCGCCAAACGCCCCTCTAAGGTCAGCAGCGGTGGCGGAATCCAGCGTTCGCATCTCATCTATACCGTATTGTAACAGATCGATGCCGGCGTCTCGTATGGCCCTCAGCCACTGTCGTAAGACCCTTCGGAAGACATCGTCCCACTCATCCCATGGAACTATGGGCGAGATGCGGCAGAGGGTCCCGCCGATGACTGAGAGTAACGGCGTGCCTGTCCAGACTGGAACCCGGTACCCGTCCCAAGGAACGATGGTCTCAACTCTGTGCAAGTGTATTCGATCCGCGGCTCTGAGGGTCTCGCTGACCGAGTGTCTCCATGTGTCGTCGTACGGGTGGAAACGAGGCATGGCCCTTCTCCTCTTTTCCTTAGATTCTTCTTCGTCATCTTCATCCTCTGATGCATGGTCGTTCTCTTCCTCACAACGAAGATGCTCGCCGTAAGACACCTCGTCCGCAAACCTTTTCCCCATGGCGATGGCGTCAGAGTGAACTAGTGAAAATCCGACCTCCGCCGAGCCGCTAATCTCCTCCGCTGTTATAAGCACTCTTTCGTCTTCTCTCAGCAGGTGCCTGTAGGTATCAAGGCTAAGCACTATGAACGCTCCCAATCGAACGGCCTCTGCGCGGTCTCGCAACGGAAGTTGGTGATAGCCCGGGAGAAACTTATTCTGGAAGATGCGCAGCCAGTCGTCGCTATAGGAGTTTTCGTTGTTGAAGTCAAACATACGCTCTATGTTGAGGGTCGGTACGTTAGCGCTGCGGGACTGAAAAAGAGAAACGAGACTGAGATGGTTGTCGTTGGACTGGTATGCTAAGTTTCTACGGGACTCGACCAAACTCCCGAGCGGACTTCTGTCTAAGCTAATGCTCATTAGAGGCAGCTACACTTGGGGGACAATCGGGCTTACTTGTTTGACCCGCCACCATCATCTATAAGATCTTCGAGGCCAAGGTCTAGAAGCGTCCGGCATACTTCGACTTGCTCTCTGAAAGTAGCATACTGCAACGCAACGTTAACTTTCCAAAGGACGTTCAAGGCAGGGGCTTCAGAACTAACATATAGTAGAGACCCACCGTCTTCGTCTCTATCGAGCGGCGATGCGTCCCCTTTACTGAACATGGCCATCATGCTTGTCACATTGCCCCTCCCCACGGCCACAAAGATGTCGCTATCTGTCGGCCTGACGCTGAATGAGCGCAGACTCTGCTGCCACCCGCCAGTCATACTCCAACTGATCTGTATCTGCCACACAGCTCGGGATATCCAAGCTGGGAACTGGACAGATAGGCCCCATTCGCTCTGTTCTCTCGAGCAAACGGTCGCGAGCTGGCCCCTCGCAGTGGGTTGATACGACGGTAGTTTCGCTCCCATCCAGGCCGCTTTTGACCTGACAATGACATACTTTGGACTTTCTTCCTCTTTCTCGCGGCTATTTTCCGGCGCTTGAAGTTGTTTCGCCAATCTCTCTAGTTGTTCCGACACATCGTGCGATACCTTTTGCGCAATTCTCTCCTCGCTCGCCTCATGTAGCTTCCTCTGACTTTTCACTACCTTCGCGGCCATATTTTCGGCTATTCTACCATGAGATGCTTGTATCATCGCCCTGTAATAGGAAGAAAGTGAGCAAATGTTCTCGGATCTCGAATCCGACTTCTTCCAGCCGCCGTTGACTAACCTCTCGTAAGACCCAACACACATAAGAACCATCCCAACAGCCGAATCCAGCCTCCGTTCCAGCTTGACCACATCATCACGCTTCAACCCAGCCCAAGCAAGTCTCAGCTTCCGCTTCGCACGGCCATGGACACTCGCTTTCGGCGGTTTATGCGTAGCAGTCTTTAGCTTCTCGACCATATCCTTGAGCGCGTGGTGCGCCTTGGTGGCGTATGCAATGCATGCCCTCGCGTGCCGAGCCGGTACTTGGAGACTCGGATCCGGACCGCCGTAGTCGTCTTCGGAGCTAGAGATCATGGTGAACATGTCTTCCAGGACGGGACCCAAGGCCTCGAGGCGGTCGACGGCATCTTGGATGTCTACGGGGAGATCTTCGATCGAGTGCCAGAGGTGGACGGCCTTGGAGATGCCTATGCACAGCTGGCCCAGGGCTATGCCGCTGGCAGCAGCACCAATGGCCTCCATGAAGACACAGAATGTAGCGTCCGGATGTACTGTCTAGCTTCTTCAATTAGACATGAGGAAAGTGACCTGGGGAATTTTCTATCTATGCAAATATTGACAGCTGCGAGTAAGGATGACACGAAAGACGAAGGACACATGAAGAAAGGAAAGCCTTTCGAAAGTATCTGCAACTGCTCGAGGAAGAGAAAAAGAATCGGCTATCCAACACTGATCAACCGAGATCAGGGGATCGAGAGGGCTCCCATCCTACGCCTCTGCCATAGCCCTGCGGCACAGTGAAGGGTGCGGGACGGCCCTGCTGCCTCGGCGGCAAACCTGCATATGTCGACAGGGGTGATGGCCACTCAAAGCCGGCTTAAGATCCGCAAACCGGCCGGGCTCAAGACCCAACCAACAGGATCTGAAGGCATGGGAAGTCAAACACCAACACTTATCTAGTCAATGATTTTCTTACACGGAGAAATCACTGCTTGTATAAAATCACAATAGCCTCAGGTATGATATTGCTGTCGAGTACACGAAAAGAAGAGCCTGAAACGTGTGATGCAGAAGCGAACTAGTCTGAAGCGTTCTCTGAACTTGAAAAGTGTCTACTAGTACTTAGACATGTTGGCAGTCCCATATGTCGCTCAGCCCGTCGCATCTTGCTTACAATCCCGCGGTATTTTGCGTGTTGGTCCAAGTCACTCCCGGTTCAGGCACGAACTCAATAGACAATGATGGTATCGTTTGGCTCTCTCATGTGTATGCCGTGCCATGTGATTTCTACTCGGAGCTCGGGCTCATTCGTTTTGATTCCTTGAGCTAGTAAAGTCGGGGAGTTTTCCATTCTCATACTCAGAGCGGTGCTTTTACCTCACGATGTTCAGACCATATCAACGGCATGTGCTCCTCGAGGAACCATAACCCTCTTGGTCTCTCCTCTCGATAGGGACTATAATGATCATAATCGCACTCGTCTACCCAGCTGCCAGGGACTTTCACGTCCAGATCCACCTGATGAACCATTTCCCAAAAGTCGCCTACATAATGCTCATATTCGGCAACCCACCAAAACCTCCAATCATCTTTCGATTTTCCATAAGTAATACCAAGGAGACGTTGCCCATACGACACGTGAAAAAGTTTGTAATACGTATGCTGAAGTATCAGGCCTTCATCATAAAGCCGTCTTTCTTTGCGCCCATATTCTAAGAGATCAGTGCCATTCAAGGTCAAAACATCCAGCCAAACTGACATTATCCTCTCTTTACGTTGGAGAAATGAGGGCCATCGACCGCTTGATACAAAACCAATCATAGAATGCGGGGCATATTCAAATAGCAATGAGAACGGGGTTTGAATTCTGGCAGGTGTGTGACAGCAGAATTCGGCTTCTTCAAGATGATAAAGACCAGCGGGGTCAAGTTGGAGGCAGGTTCTGAGAAGTCCGCACCATTGTATCTGTGACATCGGTTCTCGGTCGATCGCGTACGACTTAGCAGTCTGGCGGACTAAGCCACAAACCAATGAGTGAAAGAGGGAGCAATAACCCGTTGATCGTGATGACACGAGATCATCAATGGTGAGATTCTTAGTCTCTGGCAGTAGGAAATATAACTCATCCAAAGATAACTGACCATCTGGGACCATCCGGACTATTGTCCGGAAATGTTGCAGCCTTTTTCTGAATGGAAAAGATTGGTAACGACGGCGACCCGCATATTCCAACAAAACTCGAAACCCTGTGATCGCTGGGACCGTTTCGGAATAGATGTCAAAAACTTCAGGGCCCTCTAGGAAATCATCCAGGCCATATTTTGAAATTTCGACAAGCGCTGTATGTATTGTCCCCCAGCTTACTCTTTTACAGATACAGAGGTATGCCAACGAGTCGATAAACCATGGATAGCTATCAATTGTCAGACGATTGAAGTGAGAAAAAGAGAAGGTTGTCTTCACCTCCTATTGGATCTTGAAGACTCTAGCACACACGATCCTAGACCGCACTCTAGTAGCTTTTTGATTATACTCAAAGAACCCTGTTGAAACGCAAACTGCCAAGAATTTCGGGTCAGAATCTTCGTCTCAATCAGGAGGATGAAAGCAGCAAGAAGCATACCTCGAGCAAAGTTGATCCATTCCCTACTCGAACGAACGGTGACATAGTTTGATCATGCAATCGTTTGAACAATGCAGGACAGTCATCATTCCGGATGTCTGTGTATAATTCGCTGTCCAGACGTTCCACGACTTCGTAAGATCTGAGGCTCAGTTGCCAGCCCCATAAACTTTTCTGCGCCAGGACGGAATATACTGATCCCGTAAGCCAACTAGGTGGCTGCGCGTGCAGTTTGTAGCCGACGTCTGATTTCCAAGATAGGCCGATTCTGCCAATCATGGTTCGTCTGTGGGAAAAGCTCGCCATTGCTGGCGCTTTAACAACTAGGGATTGGTTGGTGTTCGTGCCGCAGTCAACCAAGGTGTCCTCAGCTTGACCTCGACTAGCGACTTGTCCAGGGGACATCTGAATAGACTTAATATCAGACGACTGCTGTAATTGAAGCATCACAGAGTATGACATCAGTGATCTTGGTAAAGACAGTCAGCTTCCTAGTAGAGTGATTGGTGAAAGAATTCACATGCGTCAAATACTGCTCGCGAGCCAGCTTGAAAAGCTCCAACGCCAAATTGAGCTTCGAGTCCAAAGCAGAAAGGTCCTCCTTTCGAAGAACGGCCTTTGCCGACGCCAGATTTCTCTTGAACTTTCGTGGATCTGTGACCCGGGCGTACAGCTGATCGACCATCTCCTGCAGGTCCTTCAACGCAGCCCGGGTTCTGGAGATATACTTTTGCAAGAGAGCACTGTTCCAAGCTCGTTGGGGCATAGGACTATCGGCAGCCTGGCTCTCTGTCTCCAGAAGAAAGTATTCAAAGTCCCTGAGCCGCTCGGCCTTCTCAAGCAGCGCATCTGGGACATTTTTGATCTCTTTCCATAGGTTGATGAGCTTGATCGAGGCTCCTGCGACCTTTGCTGTCAAGTCGACGACAGCGATGACGCTTGAAGCTACCCCGAGGGCTTCAGCCATCGCGAGTGATGCCTCTGTTTCTGAGAAATTTGTTGGTTGTGTGAAACAGTAGCGAGTTTGGCTGCTGAGTCGTGAGAGGAGAAGAAAGACAAAGATTGGTAAAAAGTTGGGCTGGGGGTGAGAACGCAATGGCAAGAAATGAGGGGAACATCCGAGGGGCTACGCTCTTCGTGTTTATGGGGCTGTGCCGTGACTATTGGTTGGAGCTGGGCGGTTATCCTATGCGGCCGGTTGGTCGGGATGCTGCTCATGTTGGTTTGCCCGTTGGTTGCCTGCATGATGGCTAAAGCTGACTGGCGGTGGTTCGGGATACATGCAGAGCATACCTTGTCATGCTATGCGCACGAGAAATCGCTTGCAGTACGGATAATCCAAGAATATGTCTACCGTAGGCAATGTAAGGTCAGGTAGGTTGACGTTACCTTTGGCGTCCGGACCGACTCCCCGTGGAGTGCCGCTTCATCCGAAAGTACCCCGGACTCGGGTACTCCACAGCGGCCCGGGTGGACACCCCCCGCAGGATGCTATCGGTGTGAGTCACCCCGCACTTGGGCCCGAAAACGGCATCTCTTCGGCCTTGCCGCGCCAGTTCATTTTCCTCAAATACCTTGGCATTTGACATCCGATCCCGTCCTATACCGAAGTCTCATCTTGTAACGAGTACTGATACAGAAGTCAGTTCCTGTGATAATCAGGCGGAATTACATTTAATGTCTGTTCCAGCCCCAACCATGGAAACCGCCATAGAGAGTTCCCAAATCGACAACCCAGTCAACACGCCCTCAAATATAATCGCAACAACATACCACTCTGTAATCGAGTCCACGACATACGAAAACCTCCCAGCAGTCATCAAAAAATTCACCTTCCCCGACAACCCAAGAACCCACGACTGCTGGCGCAAAGAAGTCGAAGCTCTCAACCTCGCCAGAGGTCACGTACGTACCATTTACACCTACCTACCTACCTACCTACCTACCATACACCCATACCTTCCCGCTTCCACCTCCTCAAAACATAGCCTACTTCCACCCAAACTCACTTCCATTCCAACTTACACTCCCAAACAGCCAAACATATCCCGAATCCTCCACTCCTCCCCCTCTCCACCAACAATTACCCTCCGCCACGAAGCCGGCCTCAGCCTAGAAAAATACATCAACCCAAAAACCTCAATCTGCACCCTCTCCCACTCCGACGCCCTCGCAATCTGGTCCCAAATCGCATCAGCCCTATCTCACCTGCACTCGACCTGCAACATAATCCACGACGACGTCAAACCAGAAAACATAATCTTCTTCTCCCCCCCTCTCCACTCTACTCAACGAGAAGAACACCCACAACCCCACGCCGTCCTCCTCGACTTCGGCGCCGCCCTCCCCCTCCCCTCGTCATCAACCTCCCCCTCCCCCTCCCTCAACATCTGGTCCCCCTCCGGCACACCCCCCTACGCACCCCCCGAATTCCTCCACCGCCACAAATCCCACGCCTCCGATATCTGGGGACTAGGCGTCACCCTCCTCTTCTGCTTCGGATACGTCCCTCTACCCACGGGCTCCTGGATCCTGCCCCACGTATTTGAAGACGAAGCCGTCAAGCAAGAAATGGAGGCGTGGTTGGACGAGATCGAGGAGTTGAGGACGTCGTTGAGCGGTAGTGGGGATGCCGAGAAAGAATTGCTCGGGAGGATGTTGGAGAGGGATCCGGCGGTGAGGATCGGGAGTAGTGAGGTTGTGAGGCTTCATGGATCGTGATGAGGGCGAAGAACAAGATCAGACCTGAACATATCATCCTCACGATACATCGATGAATACATCGCCATAAACCACACAACCCGCTCGAGTCACTCCACGGCACGCACCACCTCCCATCTCCCCATCCACACTCACACTCACACTCACTCACATCCATCCACCCATCCGCCCACACAAAGCACACCGACCCAACCCTCCGGAACCCTCCATCCCAGAAAACCAAATCCATTCTGTTTATCCCCAACTCTAATCCCCCGCCCCCCCTCCTACATATTCGCACTCACACACACCCCGACTCGAAAAGGCAGGCCCAATCCCAGAGTACCCTTCACGATCCACCCTAGCACAGCCCTGCAAACATCCAAACCTCCCACGCCAAGCCCCAGATCTCAGAAACTCTAATAAACAAAGAGTAAAAAATCACCCGCATACCTACATATGTACACCATACTCTGTTCACCATACAACGCCCAATTGCCCCCCTCCCCCTGCCGCAGGCGTTGACGAGAACCCCTAATCCATGCTCACCGGATCAGACTCCGAACTTCCCCCCCTCCTCCCAAATTCATCATCCCATCCACGGCACGCTCGGATACCCAACCCTCCACCATCAACTAAAAAAGTCTAGATCTGATCAAACACACAAACTCTCACTCGGTGTCGCTTCGTTTCCCTGGGTGGACAGACAATCAGACATGCCATGGGGAAAAAAAAAACATCGAGACAAAAGAAATGACGACAGCGCCTCCCGAGGACCCTACACCTTCACACCTAGCAAATCCAGGGGGGGGGGGGGGGACCAACCAAACCCCTCAACACCGTAACATATCTCAAAACCAACAAAAGACATGGAGCAAAGAACTTCGTTTGTATAAAGTTTCGATTTCGATTTCCTGTCATTATCGACTAGAATTGTACCAAAATAAAAGAACAAGCCTGGGCTCGTAAGCAGCAGGCAGACAGAATCTCATCAAGAAACCCCTCGACTCCCGTGCCCCCCAATTCTATCGGTTTCCGAATATGTATAACCACAAAAACCCACGTCGCTCGCATTTTTGTGTTTTCAGCAGTTCCGGTTCTTCCCATTGCTTCGTCAAAATCCAACCCACCCCTATACGCCGATCGAAATGCCAAGATGCAACGTGACCTGTTCGCGTTCCCCTCTCCCTCCCCGATCTTTCGTCCTTCCTGATTTCTCTGTTTCCATATGTACAATCCTCTTGTGTGTTACGTTTGTGAGCATAAAAACAGTGACCGGGCGCGCCATGCACCTCGCTGTGTGGTAGTGAGTGTCTTCCCCCTTGGAAAGCACTTGAAAAAAAAAGTAGGATGCTGTGAGAACTCTCCAATGTCTATGACCTCCGCTTGTGTTCCTCCTTTTCCAACTTTTCCACGTTTTCCTCCGTCAAGGAATCCCCGGCCACCACCGTCTGGAAGGATTCTCCCCGTCGCGGAAGCTTCTTTCCGCCGGCGGCCTCCATAAGCTTGCCTTGCTGTGCTTGCAAAGCAAGCTCATCAGTCTCGGAGCGCCTTATTGGCTTGATGGATTCCGCCACGTTTGGGGAGTCGAATGGTGACGGCTCATACGAGTTGTTCCTGGTAAGAGGCCTGGGTGTCACCGGATCGCCCCGACTTTCACGATCCGTCTCCTGGCTTTGCTCTCGTTTGCGACTCGAAGGCGCCACGGCTTCTGTTGAGTCGGGAGGCGTAGGATCTGGGTGGTCATGTGCTACGCCAGGAATGTCGGCGTTGCTGCAGTGCGCAGCGGTGTCTGAGCAATCAGACATGGACCCATCTGATTCCCTATATGTTGTTTGTTGCGACCTTTTCATCAAGCTCCATCGGACAAGCATCCTTTCCAGCGTCTTGCTCTTGACTGGCTTGGCGAGATAATCGTCCATTCCTGCTCGGGTGCACTTCTCCTTGTCGCCTTGAATCGCCGATGCCGTCATCGCCACAATTGGTACATCTTGTACGTAGGCCTTGTACGGTAGGTGGTGGCGCAGGAGATGTGTACACTTGTAGCCGTCAATGACTGGCATTTGTACGTCCATCAATATGATATCTGGCTTGCTGTGCTTGCCTTGTTGTGCTGCCGACATGTATTCGAGGGCGTCTTTTCCGTTCCATGCTGCTGTCACCGTAAAGCCAAGTTTCATAATCGTCTTGGTTGCGATTTGCTGGTTAATCGCACTGAGAAATGGTTAGCATAGACCGTAACGTGGCCGATAGAAATCAACACTCACTTATCCTCGACGACAAGAACGCGGATTTTGGCACGTTCAGCATGTGGCAACAACTCCTCGTCCGAAGCCGGCGGTGTCCGCACCGAGAGTCGTCGTGATGGGGATTTGTGTTTGTCGGTTAGGAATTGCGAGGACTCTCCAGAGGCGGGCGGCGTGTTCAGAAGCTGTTCAAACTCGGAACTGTGGCAAGAGACGCTCATTTCAGACTGCAGCCTGTCCGGAAGAGAACCAATCTCGACAAGCGGTGCCCTTTGGTTTTGGGGCTTGCTGAAGGGAACCCAGAATGTTGCCACTGTTCCGTTGCCCAGGGCGGATTCTAGCGTCATTTCTCCATGCATCAACTCGAGAAGGTTCTTGCAAATCGTCAGACCCAAGCCCGTGCCACCAAATTTTCTCGCTGTCGAAGCATCCCCCTGGCTGAAAGGCTGGAATAGCTTCTTCCGCACCTCCTCCTCAATTCCGATACCGCTGTCTTCGACGATGAACTTGACGACAATGCTATCCGACGTCTCCTTCTCCTTCTGCACCGAAAACTTGACATAACCTTGATTGGTGAATTTGATGCTGTTGGTCAAAAGATTCGTAATGATCTGGCGTACACGACCGGGATCACCAATGACAACCAGATCCCTCTCGATTTCTTTCGATATGTCGGATCGGAAGTCCAGATTCTTTCGCTCTGCAGCAAAACTCAGCATCTTACTGACATCCGTGACAATGACTGAGAGGGAAAACTGGACTTCTTCGATATCGAGACGTCCGGATTCGACCTTTGAGAAATCGAGGATATCGTTGATGACCGTCAAGAGAGCATTCGCCGACCTCTGGATATTTTCGACGTATTCGGTCTGTTCGCCGTCAAGTTCCATATCCCTCAACAACTCGGCCATTCCGATGACGCCAGTAATGGGAGTTCGGATCTCGTGTGACATCTATCAACTGATTAGTCCCTGCTTTCTTGGACTGCCATACCACACTTTACTTACGTTGGCGAGGAACTGGCTCTTGAGCCTGTTTGCTTCCTTTGCGGCCGCCTCGTTCGCCATCGCCTGTTTCTTCTCACGAGATTCCTCTTCCAAATCTTCAGCCTTTTCCTTGAGCTCACTCACGTCCATGATGACTCCGATGACGCCTTCGATGCGTGTCTCGTTGCTCACGATAGCATCCTTTGTCTTTTTGCCGAGAATAGGCAAGAATCTCGTCCGGTACCAGTGTCCATCCATGCCGTGCTCCGCCACCTCTTCCGTCTTTCCGCCAGCCAAGATATCTTCGACGGGGCGGAGGAATTTGGGGCGTTCCCCAGTCTTGAGCTGGGGGTTGAGTCGGTTGAAGACCTCGTACATGTTTTGGCCGAGGAACCAAGTCGATTGGTTTGCGGCGCTGTCATCCCCATTGCTGTCCCACATCAACGCACCTTCCAACATGGTGAGTTTCAGGTTAGTGTCGACAGTAAAGATGGTGACCTGAGAATGCGTAAGAACGCTCAGTAGCTGCTGTCGGGTACTCCTAGCAGCGAGTTTGGCCTCGATGCTTTCGTTGACGTCGGTGCAAGTTCCAAACCACTTTTCTATCTCGCCTGTCTCTTTGTTCCTCTGTGGTATAGCTCTGCCCAACATCCACCTCCATTCGCCGGTCTTGCTGCGGCATCGGTACTCCGTCACGTAAGGGTTGCCGGTTTCCAAAGAATGCTTCCATCGCCTAGCACTTTCCGGTATATCGTCCGGGTGAAATGGATGCTTCCATCCCAAGCCCATTGACTCCTCGGGAGTGAGGCCCGTGTATGAGTACCACCTAGTGTTGAAAAAGTCGTGATAACCATCTGGTTTAGTCGTCCAGACAAGCTGGGGCATGGTATCGCATATCAGCTTGAAGCGTTCCTCGTCTCTCTCCTTGATCTCGACGATTTCTTCCTTCATCTTGGTGATATCTCTAAAGGTGACGACGCCGGCCAGGAATTCTCCGGTGCTGTCATCTCGGATGGCCTCCCCGAGTGCGTCGTAGACAATCTTGTTATTCATATGGTCAATCATACCAACGCGCATGTTGGTGAAAGGCGTCTCTGTTCTGAGCAGTACCGAAATGGGATACTCGCTCACATCCAACTCTCTCTCAAAGTCCTGGTCCCAAACTGTCCAACCCGGTAGCAAATCGAACCCGTCTGATGATTTTTCCAGGTCGCTTTCTTGCCGTAATAGTATTCGAGCGGCGCGATTCGGGAATGTCACGCTGCCATCCTTCCACATCGCAAGGATGGGCATTTCCGTATTGTCGAGCAAGGCGTCTTTCATAAGAATCATCTTCTGCAGAATCGAGGGCGAGCTCGCGTGGACGGCAGTGGAAGGCGGACCCATGGGCGGGAACGGACTCGATGAGAGCGACACAGCGCTCGGGCTAACGCGGAAAGATGGTGAGCTCGAGTCGTGGCTGGAACTGACGGAGGGTGGGTTCGAGTTGGATATCGTCTTGCGGTCTGCTTGCTCCAGCATATTGGGTCGCGCGACCGCTTTGCGGCCCAGTGCTGGCTGAGATGGTGGAGAACTTGTACTGGTGAAAGTCAGGGTGAAGTAGACTTGGTGATCCTCAATCTCCCATATTGTAACAATCATTTTGGCGTAAACTTGGTGATCCGATCCCCAGCCCTTGGCCCGGGGATCGAATCCCGGCTTCCCCAACTCCTTGCGGGAGATAATGACATCCACCACAGCATCTTTAACCAAGCATGGGCCCGTTGGATGGTCCGGTAATGGCGGGGCGAGCGAATCCGGGGTCGGCGTCGCCTCGCCACCCTGACCTTGGCCGAACATATCCGCGGCGTCTTTTGATGTCTGATTTGCGCCCATTTCGAGAACGAGGGAATCCAGAAACGCCTCCCATCCCACCCAAACTGGACGACCTTCCTGGATCATATCGATACCAACCTGTGATAAGGACTGCCCTCTCAATCTCTCGGCAATGTATGAGTTGTCTTCGGCCGAATCGTTTGTCATTCCAAGCATCCTCCCCATAGCTTCGTTGGCGAGAACCACAGTCTTGAGATTATTCAAAACCAGTATCGGAACTGGCAAATACTGCATGGCGGAAAATGCGAGCTGTCCGGGCGTGATAAAAGGCATCGATATGCGAAAGGGACTAGCTGAATGTGAGCGTTTGCCTTCACCGGACCCCATTTTGAAATTCTCGCGAAAGAAGCGGCCGCTGCTGGTCGTACTCGGGGCGCCATCGCTGCGTATAGGTCCGGAATCTTCTGGTGGTGACGGTGATGCGTCAAAGTTGAAACCGCTCTCTCCGGTAGAAGGCCGTGATTCCGGGGGACTGGATTTGTGGGATGGTACTGCAGTTTTGAGAGGTGAAACTACTGGACCGCTGTCTCGAGCATGACTGCTGGTGATAACAGGTTCGGGAGGTGGCATTTCGGCGGTGGCCCACGCATGGGAAGCTGCGGCTCGCAGGTGAACCTGGGGGCAGAAGCGTGGTATAGGTTAGGTTAGGTTTACAGAGTTGAAAATCGAACCGCGGGTGGGTGATGAAGTTGCAACCCCCGTCTTCAGGTGCCCACAGAGCCGGAGGAGTTGGAAGCAGGTTTGTCGGTGTGAGCAAGTCAGGCAGTAACAAGGACGTAACAAGCGGCGACGGCGGCGGCGGCAGAATGCTAGAGAATCGTGGGGGATCAGAAGGCGGAGCAGAGCATGGCGCGGCGCCTTGTCTGCGTGGAGGGCGTGCGTTCTGGACCGCCGGAGGAAGGACCCGTCTCCGGATGGACGCTTCGCTTGGGAATGTGCTCTAATTGTGAGCAGTCGAGGCGCAGTTCGGCACTGAGGGACGATGAAGAAAAGGCTCAAGCGCCCTGCTGCTTCTTCTTCTTCTTCTTGTCCGTTAGCTTACAAGCCTTCCCAATTTCGTGCGGGAAGAAAAGCGGCAGCTACAAGCAGTAGTAGTGGCAGTGGCAAGAGGTAGAAGCGACAACGGCGGCTGGGGCTGGCCGGGCTTGACCAAGGCGCAAACAGGGCCAGGAAGCTACCTAGATAACGAGGAACTGGGGCACCGGGCAAGGCGAAGGAGAATAGGATATTGGGGCGCAGGTGTAGAGATTCCCGCTCGGTTTGAATTCGACTGCAAACGGCGGCTTCGAAAAAGAGGCGGCAGAGATGAAGGTCGGAGGTGGGGAAGAAAGGTGGAAGTGCAACAACAAGCAATAGCGGCCGGGGCTTACTAAGATGGGGCCTGAGATAGAGGGTGTGAGATTGAGTGTACATACGTGTGTGCGTGAGTGTGTGTGTGTGTGTGTCTCGTGTAGTAAGGTAGGTAGTCTCGGATGGATAGATGAGCGGACAAGAGAGACAGAGAATGAGATGGTCGGATGGCGGCTTGGATTCCGGAAGTGGTGTGGGGAGGTCTAGAACATAGCACAGAAGCTGGTGAGAAAGGGCTAAGGAAGCTGCTTTGAAACGCCACAGTGAGATGGGAATGGGAATGGCAAATGAAGATACGAAATGTAAGTAATTAACAAAAGTATGTAGAAAAGCAGGTGCGAAGTGACGACGAGTTGAGGTTGAGGAAGCGAAGCGAGGGGAACAATTGCCGCTCGTCAGCTACAGACGCCAGTGTGCAGTAGTTTGCAGGAGCCGTGTGCGCCCTGGGTCGTCTTGGCTCCGAAGGGGGCACACGGAATTGGAAGAGAGAGAGAAAGAGCAAAAGCGAGTAGTACCTTAGGTAGGTGCAGATACTGGATCTAGGGTAGGTATCTGGATGACGGAGGGAGGGGTTCTGGGGAAGGAGAAACAACTAAAGAAGGGACGGGGGGATTCAAGCTCACTCACAATGGATGGACACTGCTTGGACCGAGAGAACAAATGCGGAGAGACAGAGTAGGTAGGTAGAGCAGAGACAAACCAAAGGGTGGTCAAGTCATGGAAGTCAGGCTAAACAGACCTGAAGAGATCGGATAGACAAACAAACGGTACAGTAGGATGGAAGACGGGAATTCAATGGGAAAAGACAGGAACCGAGCTGACTGAAGGTACGACATGGGCAGTGTATGGAAGCGTGTGTATCCCGTAGGTAGTACTTCGTAGTCAGGATTGGCAGGAAAGGACAAGGGATGGGGCCGTCATAGTCCAAACTTTGTTTGAGTGAATATGAAAGGTTCCCCTTACCCTGCCCAGTGGTGTCGTCGGTGATCAAGCATCAAGACGCAGGAGGAGTGGTGGTCGAACCCATGCAACGTCTGGGGGGGGGGGGGGGGGGGGGTGGTGGGGGGGGGGGGGGGGGGGGGGGGGGGGGGGGGGGGGGGGGGGTGGGGGGGGGGGGGGGGGGGGGGGGGGGGGGGGGGGGGGGGGGGCTTGTAAGGCAGGTAGCATACGCAGTAGGTAGCTTAAGAGTGCTTAGTTGCTTAGGCAGGTATCCGTAAGGTAACTCGGGGGGGAGGAACATGGAGGAACATGGGCACGCACCAAAGCTGAGGCCCGGGGGAACAAGCCCGTAAGCTACAGTAAGATGGGACCGCGACCGGGACTGGGGGGGATGAAAGGGGAGCATTATCCCAAGAGGTGGCAGCAGTGGGATGAGCGGTGGGACAAATTGGGCCAGAACCGGACTGGACCTGAGTTGTGTGGATCGATGATTGAGCTCGTGGGTTTTGTTCATGAACGGACCGGGACAGTACCTACCTACCTACCTACTCTAGACAATGAAGTAGTGACCACCTGCTTTACACAGGTACAGATAGGAGCACACGAGGACAGACGAGCAGACCAAAACAGAGGAGGGGAAAGGTTCAGGGAGGGGACAAACCTGAAGGCAAATTCGGACTGGGCAATGTTTCTGCTGGATGCGAATCATACCTTACCTTGGAGCTCCCCCCCGCCGCCGCCTCTTCCTCGCTCTCGTCTTCCAGGTACTTACTGACTGCTGCCGTTGGGCATCCCAAGTCTCGCGAGTTCTGTGCCGGCGGGCGGGGAAGCGGGAGGCGACTAATCAGAAAAAAACTCTCACTGCCCGTTCCTCTGTTGGACTGATTCCAATGCGCTTGGCCGGCGTTCCAGACAGCGTGCGCGACAAGTCTGGTGCTCAGGGAGAGAAGGCGATCGTCATGCTGTGACAGCGGCGGTGGCCAGACGCCAGAGGGGGGAACGAACGGGACTGTGGGATTGGATGCGTGAAACGGGGTGCACCTTAACATACCTACCTACCTTAGGTACGGACGGGACTTGAACGGTACGAGAGCTTGTGCCCTTCTTTGCTACATGTCATGTCACGCATCCAAGCATCACACCCTCGGCTTGCTCGATATCCTTGTATCCAGACCTGCCAGGTACAAAGATACTTCTGACCTACAGCAGGCTTTTTAGTTGGCCATGAGGTGGATGGGAAAGTGGATGGCGGATGCACAAGTTCAATCAGGAAGCCATCGAAATCTGATTTCGACAACAGGTACGTATCCCCAAGTATCTTACTTAATCCTGGCTACCAAGTACCCGCTAGGTACCTCACCACCGCAATACGCAGTACAAGGCCATCTCGATGAACGGGGACAGGCACATTGAGCGGTCTGCCCACCCATGACGCCCTCCATGTCCACTATCCTCCAGTGGGCCGTCCCCAACACCTGCCCGCTGGGATTCTGGAAATGGCGGTACCTATCCATCGCATACGGAGTACGCAGTAGTCGAGTGGGTAGACAAGGCACTTCGCAGGTACAGAGTGGATCGCTCGCTCGCCCTGCGGTCTGCCCACAGCTGAGGCACCAGCCATGGCAGCGATGCTCCTTTCTGCCCAGCCCGTCAAACTCGTCATGCCCTGTCGCTCTGCCTTCTTTTCCCACTTCTTGCTGATTAAAATCGCCCGACATTTCCAACATTCAACTGCTCTCCGTGAGGGATTCCCCTTGGACAAGGAGCTGCTCGAGACACCAGGCACCGCGAGCGCCGACCTGCTTCCATGTTTCAACTCTGTCCAGACCCTTCCCGCGTGGGGATCTTCCCGTTCGTCTCTGCGGCCCAATCCATGCCATTCGTCCGTCAATCACATACCTCATCTGAGTGAGGCCGCAGATTGTCATTTTTTTTTTCGTGGTTTGGTACTCCGTGCCCTCCAAGTACTCGCCAAATGTCGGTTTTCGTGTAACATCAGAGTACACCCACATTATGCACTAAACCGCCTCACATCTTCTGCACCTCCCCCTTCCATGCGCATGGCACCATCTCCTCCCGTCTTGTTGCCGGCGTACGCCCACAAGCATCCACAATGTTAATCAAGCCCGGACGACGGATTGAGGCTCCGGCCAGGTTCGTGTACGGCGTCGTCGATGTGTTGTCCAGCTGCTTCTCCACCGTGGAGAGAGAGGCCAATATCGGACTGTGATGGATATCATAATCCACTGCTGCTCTGCTGTCGTGCTTCCCAAACCGAGGCCTCCAAATGCGACAGAACTACGCGCCGGACCAATATTCGCCTTGCTGCTGCTGCGTGGGCCGTAAAACCACAACGATGACGGCAGAAGAGGATCCCTCAACGGACGAGGCAAACCTCGAATATGGGACATGATGGGGTCCGGATGGGTCAACTCGAAAGAGCTAGCAAGAATGGAATATTGCCCCAAGTGAAGTAAAGATAGGCGCCCCATGCCGCTGGAGAGAAGGACCCTGACCTACTGTGTAAGAGAGGCACAGCACACACCACCACCACCACCACCACAACCACCTGCTTCCTGGTCGACCTTCGGGACATTCTTTTCTGTGAGCGACATTCTCGTGTGCTGATCCCTTCTTTGTCTTGCTACGATCCGCGTGTCTGGCCGGGTCCGTCAGGTGTGTCGCTCGGCACCCCCAACCGTCGAGAAATTGGTTCAGCCACTGGTTACTTCCGCCAATGTCTCAGTCTTTTCTTAATTGTCGAAACAGAATGTTGCGCTTGTTCCTGTCAGTCTCAGTCTGATTTCTAGAACCGATCCACGGTCATAATCGAGGTATTTCAGGCCCTTCGTCCCTTCGCATTGGGGTTCGACCAGGGACCAGCAGTTGGTGAACAGGCATCGACAGCTGATGGAAAACGTCTGGCGCTAGCTAAAGCCTGGGGATTCATGTCCGTGTACCAATTCGTAGACCCTGAGGGAGACGCAGCTTGGTAGCGAGCTTGCAGTTAAGCGTGGTCTTGCTCATCAACCTTGTCGCAAGCTGATCTCTTTCTCGCCAATAATCGACTGGTGGCAGATCGATTGTCGAGACTGTCGCGCCGTTGAAACTCCTTGCGCTGTTCCCATCTGCCGCAGAAATATGAGGCCATAATGACAGACAAGGAGCTGACTGCCTCAACCCTCTCTATACCCGTCGCGTACCCGGGCGATCCCGTCAGTTCGGTTTGACGCGTGTGACGTTCGCCTGTCCTCGTCCATACATCGAACTGTAGACTGTAGTTGGGAGTCCTCTGTCGAGAAGCGATCATGCTGTGTAGCCGGCGATGCTCTCCAATTGCATATTCGAGGCCATTCGGTCTCGCTTCGTCCCCCGTGGATGCGGCACAGATCATCGTTCGGTGAGTCTTTTTCCCGCATTGGCTCATCCACTCATAAGCTCTCGATACTTGGAAGTGATGTCTACTACGCTGGATTCGGATAAACGCAAAGACTTGGGCTTTGACTATCTCCGACTGGCGTTGTCGGTGACAAATTTGCCCTGCGTCTAGACCTCACGGTCTCCCCATCGATCGTAGATCTACAACTCGAACGGGTCTAGCCCGCAGGCACTCAAGACGCCTAGACCGGGATGGCCACAGACACGACCAGGGCCCTGGTCGTCTTCTCCATATCGGTGCGCCTCCAGTGCCACCAGAGACTCTTAAGCTGCGCGGTACAACGCAGATCATCTGACCCTGCCCTTGGTGGTGAGAACCAATCATCCTGGTGCAGCACCACCCTTGTTTTTGACAGAGCTTTGCTGCCCGAGCGTGTCTGCGTGCTTGCCCTGCCCGTTGTTGACGTCATCCTGGCATAAGCAGTCTTGATTGGTCGTCGGCCTCTCTCCCGAATCCTCAGAACGCAACCAAACGTCGTTCAACCTCGTAGACAGAAGCAGAGTAGCTCGAGTGTAGCTCGAGGGTAGCTCGTTCGTGCCACTGAAAGATTCCATATCATGGCGCACCTTTGTCTTGACATGTGCTGGGTGCATGCCACCCGTGTGCAATCCACACAATGACTCGATTCCTCCCCGTTTACTTTCCTTGTAAGTTGTCAGCCATGACAGCGTACCTAGCACTGGGTCACAATAGGTTGTGGGTTGCGTCTCGTTTTTCGATGTCGCGGGATATTATGTCATTGCGTCTCGATTTCGTAACGCAGCCTTACATCTGTCGCTCAAAGCAACAGACGACATGATGCAGTACAGGCATAGCAAAATCCCTTCGCTTGCAAGGGTATCATCGGCCATTTCGTCATTTGGACCCTGAGGATCCAGAGAAAGGACCCCTTCACGTGCTCATGTGCCCTCCTCGTTCCATTGCCGCCGGAGTTCATCCATGTAATTCGCCTCTTCCCCGCTCGCTCAGACTGAATTGTCTTTCATCACTCCACACGTCGAACATGTCCACCACTGCCTTTCCATCATCGTCCCACAATACGAACATTGCCAGGTTAGGGGTTTCACTGGCTCGGCGGCGCGTTGATTGGTGCTACCAGGCTTTCTACTGCTACTGGCTCTGGGCGGGCTACTTGTGAGATCGATAGTGGCAGGCTGTGTCGTGCTCTTCGTCGTTGCGGCCATTGATGCCCTTTGGCGTTCGCGTTCGCGCTTTTCAGCATTTGGTGTCCACACTTGACGCTGAGGATCCTGACCTCGTTCTGTGCCGCACGCATCGCAGCACAAAAAACTTGAAGGATTATGGAGAGTACAGACTCCGCATGTCCAGCCCCGTTGCGGAGCTGGTTGGGGCACCGGCGCAGACACAACTGGTGGCCGAGTCTCTGGCCTTGGTATCGATGGAGGTTTCGTTCCTGGTCCTGGGATCGGCGGAGGAACACTACTGCTCCTGTTTTCGTTATCTCCCATGACGGATCCTCCACCGTTACCAGTAGGGTTTTGCGCTGTTGGCGGAATAAAGTAACCACCGTACCGTTGGCGCTCTTCTTCTTGTACCAGTTCCCAGAGAGCTTGCGCAATTGCAGCTTCATTAGCCGCGTCTTCTTCGGCCTGCGTACGGAAGCCGTTCTTCGTAGCTGTCTCGGAGATTTGTTGAATTTCCCTATCATTGTGATTCGTATTACCGCATCCCTGCAGCGTGGTATTTCTGCGCTCTATTGCGCCCACGATGGTTCGCCGGATATCTGAACCGATGCTGGGTCCAGAGCCACCAAGGCGCTGGCCTGACCCCTTTGTCAGGGTGCGACGCTTTTCAGCTGATGCTCTAGCAAGTCGTCTAGCTTCATGCATAGGTATCCGGCCGCCTCCCAGGCGATGTCCGTCTGATAAAAATCCTTCACCCGTATATCCCTTTCGAATGAGCGACTCGTGTTCGTCTCGAAGTTGGTTCCATAGCGCATGGAAGTTGCCATCGTGTGGTCCAAATACAATGTGTGAAAGTTCGTGAAGCATCGTATCAACTACGTGCTCTATAGGTAGGAAGAGTGATCGGTCATTGGGATAACGTAAACGGACGAGGATTCTTTGACCTCTGTTGATATTCAAACCTGAATACACCATAATTAGTAGATTGATGGAACTTTCAGGAGATTGACATACCGAGGAGGTTTGCTTGATCCGGATAAAACTCAGCTAGCTCTCGCACCTTCCACCCCCTAACTCGCATGATGGGCTTGACCAAGGAGGCCACCTTCTTCAGCGTTTGGAGAGCATCGGGAGCGCGCGGAAAATCCGGTAAATGTGAGAATGATAGAATAAGAGCATCGTGTTCTGGCATTTTATCGTCGTGTATCGTTGTATGTAGTCATGTAGTCGTTGCGTGGTAATAAATGCGAAAGAGGGAAGTAATCAAGACCCTAAATCATCACTAGGAAGGAAATGAGAGAAACGAAAAAACGGCAGGAAGTCAACGAGTGACGGGGTATTGAAGAAAATCGCAGGTAGGAGCGACTCATAGATGGAGTTTGGTAGAACAACGTGGAAAGGAAGTCATTCACATCGTAAGCAGTGGCTGACACGTACGAAGACGCGTAAGGGGACCTGATGCCTTTCGGTGATAGGGGGGGCAATGGTCGGGCGATGAGTCTTTGTGAGTTTTTGGACTGTCACTGCCTCTTGGCAAATTTCAGAAATTCAAGCAGGCAAGTGGGGTAGCGGGGTATGTTGTGGTGACTAAGCAGCATCCTGGCAGTGCCTGGCTCGGGAATCTACTTCCACCTTGAGCTTTCCACCTTTTGAAGATTTGGGCAGCTGTCAAGCCACCATTCATTTCACCTTACCCATGAACACATACACACATGCACATTCTCTCATCGCTTCTTCGATCCCTGAATCATCGGCCGATGAAATGGTATTGGCCAGTCAGCCGAGAGCTTGATGATGGATGGCCAATACCTGGCAAGATGAATGTGTCCCAACAGGATCTCGGACGGAAAATCAAGGCAGCGACGCCTTGGAGAGATTAGCTTGCAGAGATCGACCTCGCCAAGTGATGGCGCTATCCTTCGCTCGGTTCCTAGGTATACCAATATGTTTGACGATGCCTCTTTGATACGCCTTATCAACGGGCTGACTTCTGCAAGTATCTCTAGTCGCAAACTCAAGCCGGGCTTATAAGCCGTCGGAACCCCGCTGTCCCGACGTCAAGGAACGGACAACTTCTCCTACTGTCCGATCAGTATTGCATCAACCGGCTTTTGCATTGTCTCTCCGTGATGTCAAATACTCACAACCGTCGCACATGTCCGGGGATTCGGCCGACGACTCAAGTGGAGTCGTCCAAGTCACAACAGCTGTCAACAGAAGGATGGAGAGCGGTTTCAGTTTTGCATAAATCTCGTCACAGCTATGCCACACCTTCTCCGACTCCCTTGTTCTTCTCGTCTCCGTATTAGACTTTGACTGTCAAGATACGTCGCAATCTATTTCTCCCGCTCTTTTCATCGCATGTCTCTGAGCAACTTCAGATGATTGATCATTAATTTTTCGCTTTCCCACGTTACGGATGCCCTCGTTCAACATCACAAGTAAAGCCTTGACTTAGCTGGATGCGCTGCGGCTACAAACAGGGGTCTGGGAACCCAACAAATCGTCACGGGAGTTCGGCATCGCGACTTGGTTG